CTGTGGGTACAAGGTGCACACCAAATGATAACACAATTATCATCATCACTGACACAAGAGCAAGAGATGCTAACAGAGACCCATCAAATGCATTTGATATGACGCCTCAGGGGCAACTGGTTGTGCAAGACTCCACGCTTTACTTTGGGCTGTAACAGCTCCATTCTGAAGTCAACGCAGCAACACCAGATATCTCTGATCTCATTTCTCTGCAAGCTCTGAGCTACCTTAGTTGCGCACAATCTAGTCAATGCAAGTCCCTCATACTCACATGCCAACTCCATTTGGCACCGATCGCATACCTGAATATTGGTTATCGCTTTTAAACCGGGTAGTGTCGTACCATTGAAGCAGTTAGGAATTTTGGTGACTTTTGACTGTCTGTTATTTCGGGAGGCATTTTAACTCACATTAAAGTCCCTTCTAGCAAACCTTTCGGACATTTATCCTATTTTGAGTCCCAAATATAGGCATGGCTGTCTTATTACATCGCTTGAATGGCAGCAATAAACCACCACGAACCCTCGATAGACCCAAAAATATCCTACCTGCAATGACCACCATAAACGGATCATCCAAGTTGTTCCTGTACGGGACTGTCCACGAACCCAAGTACGGCGTCACGATGACGGTACAGCGATTACCGTACCCAGTCTGATGGCTTGCCCGTAGTTGACTATATCTCTAATACTTCACAGACAAGCGCTTTACCTACAAGACCGTTTCAGTCCATTTAATTTGTGCAAGGACTTAAAAGCGGTGGCAATCTTGTTCTGCCGTCCGCTTGTTTTGCTCACAAGTCCAATAGTTCACCCAAAAGCAATATTGGTGACTCGGTATATCGATGAAGTCAAACATTGCCTTAAGCCAGATCTAACGTATGCTCATCATCANTCCGAATAAATGAGCTAGTAGGATAGCCAAAACTGATGCGATCCAATTGTCCCAGATAGTGATGATTTAGCTCGAGACAGCTAGACACATTCTCCCGGTGCACAACTGAAAAATCGCTGTGTAAATTTCGCCTTACGGATTTGCTAACAACGACCCACACGAGCTATGACTTTGAGACAACCGTTGTCAAGCACCTGAAAACGCCTTTGCTCCGCTTCTCGAACAGGCCAAGTCTCAGCCATACAAAAGAACAGCCCGTACTGCAGCCTGGTACACACGTTACTTGATATTCATGGATACCCTGCCTTGACGCCATAGGTGCATCAAATTAGCAAACGCGACCCGAGCATTGCGGGTTCGCGCATTGACCTCATCTTTCACATTACATTCAAAACCAATATAACTTCGAATGTATGTAAAACACTGCACCACATAACCTCTCCAACCGGATCAGAAAAACACCTGCGATCTTACATAAGCTTTGTTGTACATCTGAAGGTTTCCTCGGCCAACCAAAAATATCATCCCTCACAGAAGTGCACATCTAAGCAAAATCATCTCAAAAATGACGTCCTTTACGGGGCTCTCCAGAAACCGAAGTATTTCGGTGCAGTGATGGCATGGCACTGCTATACCCAGTTTGATAGCAAACCCGCAACTGTGCATTTCCCTCTCTTGACTTCACCCTATCGCCCACTTGTTCCATTACATTCAACTACGAACAAACTCACGTTTTATTCTAAAT